AGTCTGAAGGAGCAAGATCGGGAGAATAAGGTGGATGAGGAATTTTCTCCCAACCAAGTTCTTCGATCTTTTTGTGACGTGATTCTTGCTGTGTGGGTCGCGCATTGTCCTGATGAAACATCACCTCTTTTCGATTCACTAGAGCAGGTCTTTTTTTTTTTCAAAGCTTGGTTCAAACGCTCTAATTGCTGACAGTATATTTGAGCATTAATTGTTGCATTAGGTGGTAAGAATTCAAAGTGGATTATTCCTTGGCGATCCCACCAGATTGAAAGAAGAACCTTTTGCCCATGAAGTTCCCTTCTCGGCTGTGGCTGGGGTCCTTCCCCTTTACCAAGCCACTGTCTACGACGCTTAACATTTCGATAAAAGATCCATTTTTCGTCGCCAGTCACAAGTCTATCCAAAAAAGGTGAAACAAGTTGGCGAGAATGGTGAGAAGAGCAGATGTCAACTCAGGATTTGAGGTTGTTTTCAGACAATTCATGAGGCACTCATTTTCCAAGTTTAGGAACTTTTCCAAGTTGTTGAAGATGACGATGAACAGTTGTATGGTTTGAACTGAGAACCACTGCCAATTCCTCAACTGATAAAGCAGGATTTTCTTCAAGGGCTACTTCAAGAAGCTTTTCATTAAAACTCAACTGGACGTCCGGTTCGATCGTTATCTTCAAGGGTGAAATCTCCACCTCTGAATTTTGCAAACCATCTTCTGCAAGTTCTTTCATTCACACATTCCTCTCCATAAACTGAGTGAATGTTTCTAGCCGCTTCAGATGCTGAGTTTCCATTCTTGAACTCATAAAGCATTATGTGCCTCAAATGATTCTTAAGTACTTCCATGTTAGCAGGGTTTTAATCAAACGAAATTTAATTTTATTGTTCTCTGAAATAAAATTTGATCAGTTTAAATGCATCTAAACATAAAAATAATGTTCACACCATTAGACATTATAAAATACTCTTTAAATTTCATTTTAACAAAAAGTTAAAATTCAGACAGAACTTATGGGATGACCTGATAGAATAGATTACCCAAAATTCATCAATGACCCATACATACATACCCAAAATATAGAGCAAGCACAACTATCCTCCAGGAAAGTGAGTTGTTGCACCTTCTCAGCTGACATGAAATGAAAAGACTATATTGCATCCATTGCTAAGTCAGCTGCTGAGAAAGTTGGTTCACTGTGTCATGCGAGACAATTTTTCTCTCCAGAATTTATCTTACATCCTTGTAAGTCTACCATTCATCCATGCTTAGAATATTGCTGCCATATATGGTCTGGTGCTCCTACTATTTACCTTCAGCTCCTTAAAAAAAAAATCAGCAATATTATCAGTCCTGATCTGGCAGCTCAGCTTCAGTCACTTTTTTTTCTATAAATACTTTCATGGTAATTGTTCAGATGAGCTCTTTGCTATACTACCTAGACTTTTTGAATTTAAGTGCAGTACTAGACTGGTGTTGAGATCTCATCAATTTACAGTTAAGCTGGCTAGATGTAGCTGTAAATTCTATGCTAATAGTTTCTCTTCTTTCACTTCTGGCTTGTGCAACTCTCTTCCAGCTCCATGCTTTCCAGACAACTTTAATCTCCCAAAATTTAAATACTATGTCATTTGTTATCTACTGTCCTCCTGATTACTCTTTTCTCATTAACATTGTTTCTCTTCCTAATTCTTTTACACCCATTAAACGCCTTGTGTCTTAGTGGCTTTACTACCTTGTTTGGTTTAGTTTTTGTTTAATGGCATATCAACCTCAATGGGTTATTTAATGCCGACATTTTTAGGATAGATTCGTATGAATAAAGTATGTATTCTTTGGTTTAGATTGGTTTGGTTTATTTTGTTTTATGGCATATCAACCTCAATGGGTTATTTTATATTGACAAAAATTTTTATTGCTGGTAATATTTTGTTTTGTCAAAAATCTGTTTCCGGTAATATATTTCCTTCAAAATTGTATTGCTAGTAATAATTTTTTTTAAAAAAGTATTGCTGGTAATATTTTAACTATTTGCCGATTTTGGGACCCTAAAAGATGCTTAAAAAATAGGATGGACCTGGGAACACCATAAATTAAGAGGTGGTTCTATGCTTCTCAAAAATATCCTGATCAAAAAGCCTTGCTGCTGGTCTATAGTTTAATATTTATTGAATAGGATATTTTATATGTAGTTTAACGTCTTACCCTGGACAATTACCTTGCTTGGGGTGAAATTGAGATAATATATATATATATATATATATATATATATGTGTGTGGACACTGAGATTAATGCTAAATCGCAACAATCTGTTTCATGCTTGGACACAATCTTCAGGTCATGTGTACTGTGTATTGGCTCAACTATTCATATATGCTGGCCAATGGTGCCTTATGGGTATTAAGCTCGATTGTATTATTCTAATGGTTATTGATTAGTGGTAATGGTTGTATTTCAAATTATTCTAGAGACTGTTCAGTAGGAATAATTGTGGAAGTTAGTATATAGTGTTGTTTAACTTTTTACACATTATTTATTATTGATTACTTAATTATTTGTTGTTTATTATTATTACATGTGTTTGTGTGCATTTGTAGTTGTTTGTCTACTTTATTTATTTTGATTTTTTTTTGTTCCTGAGGTTGGTTATTTTATTTGTTTAGTTTAAGCATGTTACATTATCTGCATTGTATATAGTGCATATATTTGCATTTTTCTTGGTTATATTTAACAAGGTATTCACTTTTAGTTTTTGGTTTTTAAGTAACACATATGTACACACACTCACACTCACAGTGCGATGTATAAATTGTTGACTAATTTATGCAAAAATTAAAATAACACTGACAAATCATTTTAACAAATATATTTACCAAAGTTACACAAAAATATCTTGAAATACTAAAGAGTAAATTTACTCAATAAAATCATCATTACCTTCAACCGCAGCCTTCCAGATGCCTTCAGAATCCCCTGCATCTCTTCTGGCTGGTCTCCTTGTTTATAGTTGGTGAATACTTGCCTTCAGTTTATCTTTTGTGTTACAAGGAATTTTTTTTGCTCTTTCACTCAACTGCGCCACACACATAATAATCAAAGGGGTTGCGGCCTGTAGAGTTAGGTGGACAGATTTAAGGAATGATGTGCTCACAGAAATTGTCTGACAGCCATGACTGTGTCCTCCTGCTTGTATATTGCAGAGTCCTGTTTTTTTTACATAGGGTCTTCCAGCAGCCACCCTTCTTTTTTTTTATTTTCACTACCTCCTCAAGGCACTTGATGTAGACCTCCATGTTGAGTGAGGCACTGTGGGAAGATGATTGGAGGCATAACATTGCTATCACTAGTGATCATTCCACATACCACAATGTTGACTAGATATATCATCTGACTCTTTCCAAATCCTCTGCATTGTCTTCACCCAAACACTTTGAAAAGTTCATATTGGAGCTTCCTGTATAAATGCCAAGCAGTACAGCATACTGTTTCCAAATTTCTGGTGGAGTGAATTGTGTCATGGTGCTCTTTTCCTCACAGATACTGCTCAACTGACACTATTATACTGTGCAGTCAACAAAATCAAACAAACAACTCGCATGTGCAAAATTAAAAAAATTAAAATGGAAACAATTTACCCATCATACTCTATATATGCCCACATAGACATACCTCTATATAATTATAGCATAACATTTGAACTGGTATTAATTTTTACATTTTCAAATGAAAAATATCTTTTCATTTAAATTTATTCTTACCTTCCTATGGCAAATAATATGCTACCATATCGTCCCTATAGCAGCTTGTTGTATGAGGTCTTGGTTGGCACAACACAAAGACCAGTCATTAACCTTATAAGATCAACATCCTGATCACTGATCTACCAGAAGTATTCCTTTCATTCTTGGCATATATCTTGAAGAAAATTTAGCAGTTGTATTGAAAGTTGAAAATTTTTTTTTTTTTTTTTGTGGTCAAGATGACAAATAAATAAAACTTTTACATAACCACTCTTGTCTTTCTAAATCCCTGGGTATCTAGGCCAGCAGTGTGAAATTCCCTACTAGAATTTAATAAGCAGAAAGACATTTGGATATTACATTCAAATTGATACCGTTTTAAAGGGAGACAAATTGTTTTCATCTGCCATTTGATATGACAATTTGTTGTCAGTGAATCTGCTGCAGCCTCTGTAGTAAACAGATGTTTTTAAAGGTTTGTTTATCAATTATAGCTTCTTTTTTCTTTTTTTTTTTTCTTTTTTTACAGCATTTACCTATTGATATATACTGTTAAGTCGATTGACATTCTAAATGTAACTGGATAACAGCAGTTTGCTTAAATAATCTCTCAGCCATCATCTGATGGCTGTATAGTGTATAAATACCTAAATCCTCTAGAATCAAAACACACAAACACCAGCTCTACATCAGATATAAAGATAAGTTTTTTGGGTTTTTTTTTCACCCCTTGCAGCAATATAGGAATAATAGAGATGCCGAGAAAAAAAAATTATCACAAAGTTCTGATTTTTCTTTTTTTTTATGTACAATCTATTAAAGAAGCAAACAATATGTTTTCATTATTATTTGTATTTTTTTCATTCAGCTTTCACTCTTGTAAAAAATATAAAATAGTATTTGAGCTTTTCAAAATGAAATCAATTTCATGCTGGATCAAATACTTTTTTCAAATATTATTTTGTATTCTTTAAGATTTCAAACCAGTTGCACAGGGTGCAACAACAATACCTGGCACATAATGGTAAGACATTAGTAACAAGAGTGTCTTCATTTAGATGTTTTACCATTATGTGGGCTGCTTAGATGTGGTGCATGTCTGAAAGTATGGGGCACCCAGTGAGGATGAAACTCACTATTCAGTCATAATTGATCTAGCATGACAAGCTTGCTAACCATTACACCATGTCGAAGTGCCTGTTGCTGGGAAGTATATGCTGAAGTTATTCCTGCCACACCCTGTACAATGTGTGAATTGTAACAGAATCAAGTGACAACAGGTTTCTTTAGCACTTATTTTGTTTTCTCCTCTTACTTTTTCCTTTTCTTTTCCTTAACTTCTTTCTTCTTTTATCTTCTATCTTTCTTCTTTTCTTTCTTCCTTTCTTGCTTTTTCTTCTTTTCTTCACACTTTTTTCTTTTTTTTTTCTTTTCCTTTCTTCCTTGTTATTGCTTCACTTAGCTATTACATGTTAATTTCCACACAAGTCATTTCAGAGCTTACACTGGGGAATGAGTGACAACAGGTTAACTCAATAGTACATTTTCTACCTTATTATTTCATTGGAAAAAGAAAATAAGAAAGAGTACTGGTAATGATACTGTACTCCTTGATTATTATTCTGGCTGAGTTTTCACCTTCTTTATATATCTGGCAGGGGTGACTGGTCGAAAATGGCAGCAAAGCTCCATATATTTTCCAGCTTTTCACTCCCTGAATTCCCTCCTTTTAGTGTTTGTTTGAATAATAGCTACTAACAGGTTTCTACTTTTACAAGTATTATTATTGCAGCATTATCATTCTTAATAAAAATATCATTTTTTCTTTTTTTCACTCTCAAGAAAGGCAATAATGCCACTAAGATGGAAAGAGTTACAAGAAGTGAAATAAAATAAGACTTTAAAAGAAGGAAGTGGAAACTCAATCCTAAACAGGAATCAAGGGATAAACCTCTACTCCTGTTCAAAAGACAGAGAACGAGTGTAAACCAGGCGATAGGTGAATATATAAAAAGTAATAACATAATCTATTTTGCAGTTTATAGCACATTTTTTAATCAATTTTTATTGTATTAAAAATACCTATATGGTATTTGAAAAGAGAAGAATTGGGTGTGACATTCAAAGCAAGTATGCCATGTCACCAAAACTAAGGAATTTAATCACAAATTAAAAGAATTCAAAGAGTTTGTTAATAAACTGTCTTGACTGAATCTTTCCAACATTACATTTTTATTACAGTTGGACTAATATACTTATCTTCTTTAACCTTCATGAAACAATAGACTAAAGCATTGGTAGTATAGTAATTGTGAGTTTAAACTCTGAGTCATGTAGAAACATGACTAGCTTAACTGTGCAGTACTTAAGAAAAAAGATGACAAGATGCAATATTCCTAGGAATGCACAACAGAATGAGGACAATGTACCCCACCACCCATAGATTAAATAATTAAATTAATAATCCAGGTTGGCTTCAGGGAATTCTTTGAATGCTACTCACATTGACAGGCATCTGAAGAAGGCCTGAGAGTATAACTGCCAAAACATGGTAGAGTAATAACAAAGATTAGTATACAAGTCAAACTTTAAATAATGATGACTCTTCATTCTAAAAAACCAGTTGCTGTAAGCTGGGATGTGTGGGTAGTATAATGGATAATGGAATGAAATTGTTAATTGGAGAGTCAAGTTTCAGTTCCAGTTGGGTTTGTTATATTCACTCATATGCAGATACCCTTAGGAAAGGTAGGAATCCACCCCTTCTTCCTGCCAGGTATAGGTTAATTAATAAGATTTGTATCTTCCAAATCATTATCTAAAAAAAAAAAAATTTTCTTACAATCTAAAAATATTTTCTATCTTTAAATAACCTGCAAGGAGTCAAAATGAATCAATCATTTCAGAAATTTGGACAAAAAGCATTTCTTTCCTTTGTTTTTTTTTATTTTTATTATTTCGGTTAGGATATTTGGATCTTATTCTCTGTGATTCTTACAAAATCAATTACATGAACTGAATTCTATGTATCACATCTGAATTCCAAATCTCAACCACTTAGCAAAAGGCTGATTTTGTGATAAGTTGGTTGAAATTCCACAAAGATTTTCATAAGGGTAGATAGTTGAGAAAAATTTGTGAATTACATTTTTTTTTTAAAATATCCAAATAAAGAAATGGGCCAAACAAAATATATAAATAAAAAGTTTTGTAATCCTCATTATTACAGCCATGGTATCAGCCTCCCATCTATCATACCACTGCATCTTGTTTATCAAAATTATCATCAGATTTACAAACATCAATGTTATTAGTTTGCTTCTATTTTGTTTGATCCAATCTATTCCAGGCACTGTTAAAAAAGATTTGTGTGTTTCTGTAATGGCTGACATCAGTGACGATGAAGGTAAGCCCTGTCCAATCAAAGTGCACACATGAAAGCACGCATATCCATACACAGTTCTTTTATACATACTCACAAACTAATTTGTGTGCACACACAAATATACACACTCATATGCATAAAATGTACTTTTGAACTAATGTATAAGCTGTTGCACTTGTACACCCCTGAGTTCAGTCATTGATATTTATAAATAATATATACGTAGAAATAACCTTTTTTTTCCATGGATGTTTCAACCAAATTTGACTCAAGATCAAACTCATTGAGCTTCCAGTGAGACTCACTCCCTGGCAATGGCTTGCAAGATCTGCATGCTAACCCTGCTCTACAATGAATGCTCTTGGGTTTGCATAATATGCAAATATACCAATGCATGTATGGCCTTAGTTGTAAATATAGTAGAAACACAGATTTGGATGTAGTTTATCTGTTAGTTTTGGATCACTGATAACCCAAATCCTAGATGACTTTCTCTTGATCACCTCCAATCATTTCACTTAAGCCAGCATAAAAGAAGAAATTGCTTGGACCTTATTTTCACTAATTTATTGAAATTTAGTTTCCAATGTCCTAGCCACCCCTTGTCCACCATGGCTTTGGTTACTCACAGGTCAATGTCAGATATAATAATGACACACAACTGCAACAGTAGTTGGCAAATTTGATATGGCAAAAATATATAAAATGTTTCCTTTAAAGAAAATGTGAAATTTCTCAATTAGATAAGGAAAGAAAAAGATAATATTGCTAATATCTAATGTGACTTTTATTACAATATATTGATGTAATTTTCCTATTTTATTGACTTACTGGAATTCTCCAAGCCTTTTTTAACACTACTCTACTGAACAATAAGAATGTATTTAGCTCTAAGTTGAAATGATGATACTTCGTACTGTTGTTATCTAGTTTTCCTCTACTGTTCACTTTTTAAAACTTATTCAGAATGAGGCTGACACAAAACGATTTTAAGCTCTTCTCTTTTTGCTTTAGCTGAATAACTCAAAAGAGTTTTCAGTGTTTCTTTTTATGACAAATGGTGTCAAGATGGCTAAATGTCTTATCTGAAAACCTGGAAAACAAACTCAACTACTTTTTGACTTTTTAAACATTTTGTGGGATGGACAATTATCCTATGCTGTTACATGATTTTAACAATTTTGCTTTTACACCCTGTGTGTGTGTGTGTGTGTGTGTGTGTATATATATATATATATATATATTGTATAATTCAACTACAGATAAAGTCTACCCTGAAATCAGCCAATTCCAATTGATTTTAGACAGTGCTTAGTACCAAGTCTTTTGGTCAATATTCTTACCTATTATCTTAAAAAATATATATATATATATATATATATATATATATATATATTAGTGATTCAAATGATGTATACATATTTTTTCCTTGTTCACCAAATCTTACCTCTTAAGGGACATTAAGATAAAGTCTACACAAAAAAGTCAGCCACAATTGCTGAAATAAAAGTTTCCATAGAACATGTATGCAGCCAAATACCTATCAAAATGTTGATTGTTGCTTGTGATTCCATTGTGTCATGTTGTCAGCAATATCTAGATCATAACAGGCATCAAACATGTGATGACAAAATCTTAAGATCATGTATTTATAATAAATACTCTCTGCATATGCATTGTTTCAATTTTAGTTTTATTTTTGGTTCTGGTTCCTTGAATTATTTCTTGAGAAAACTTCAAAGTGTCTATACATTTTTTGCAACATTGTGTGTTTTATATATATATATATATATATTTACACACACACTTTTGCAGTCATTATCAAGAACCATGCAGACACCACATCGATTCTTGATAATGACTGAAAGTCAAAATTATTGAACAAAAATAACAATATGGAATTTGAACAGTTTATGCACAACTTCATACACAATACTCAACAACTTATCCAAAAATTGAAAAAATAAAACAAAAAATTCAACTGACGAACCTTGTCAGTTCTTTTTAATCAGACTTGTTTGGAGATATATGTATGTATGTTTGTGTGCGTGTATGTACTTCTGGCACAATCTGTGGTTTCAGACATCTGTTCTGGTGTGGTGGGGGTTTTGGAATATATTCCTTTTGAATAAGAGACAGAATTCTGCAAATTTTTCGTTCTTTTTGTTTTTTTCGTTCTTTCGTTCTTTTTGTTTTTTTCGTTCTTTCGTTCTTTTTGTTTTTTTCGTTCTTTCGTTCTTTTTGTTTTTTTTCTTTGTGTTTTTTTGTTTTTTTTTTTTTTGTTTTTTCGTTTTTTTCTTTCTTTTTTTTTTTTTTTTTTTTTAAGACGTTTTTTTTGTTTTTCGTTCTTTTCTTTTTTTTTTTTTTTTTTTTCGTTTTTTTTTTTTTTCGTTCTTTTTTCTTTTTTTTTTTTTTTTTCTTTTTTTTTTTTTTTTTTTTTTTTTTTTTTCTTTCTTTCGTTTTTTTTTTTTTTTTTTTTTCGTTCTTTTTTTGTTTTTTTTTTCTTTTTTTTTTTTTTTTTAAATCTTTCTTTGTTATTTTTTTTTATTTCTTTTGAAATTTTATTTATCTTTTTCATTGTTTTGTTCGTTCTTTTTTTGAATTTGTTTTTTGGTTTCTTTCTTTCTGTTTTTTTTTCTTTTTTCTTTGTTCTTTTTTCTTTCGTTCTTTTTTTGTTTCGTTCGTTCTTTCTTTGACCCAATTTTTTTTTTTTTTGTTTTTCTTTTTTTTTTCTTTTGAAAAAGGAAAAGTTTCTTTCTTTTTTAAGATTTTGCTTTCGAAAATTTTCTTTTTTTCATTCTTTCTTTGAAGATTTCTTTTTTTTTTTTTTTTTTTCTTTCTTTTTTTTTTCTCTTTCTTTTCTTTCTTTTTTTTGTTTATTTCAATTTTTTTTCTTTCGAAAAAAAACTTTTTTTGTTTCTTTCTTTCTTTTTTTTCTTTGTTTCGGAAATTTTCTTTAGTTTATTTCTTTCCATTTTCTTTTTCTTTGAACTTTTAGGCCTTTGTTTCTTTCTTTGTTTCTATCTTTTAAATTTTTTTTCTTTAATTAATTCTTTTTGTTTCCGTTTTAAATTCTTTCTTTCTTTGTTTTTTGAGAAAATTTGTTTCATTCTTTCTTTCTTTGTTTTTTTTCTTTCTTTCTTTTCTTTTTTTTTCGTTTTTTTTTTTTTTTTTTTTTGATATTTTCTTTCTTTTCGTTTTTTTTTTCTTTTCTTTCTTTTTTTTCGTTAACTTTTTTTTTTTTTTCTTTCGATTGGATTGGTTTCTTTCTTTTTTGATGAAAATTTTTTTCCCAAAAAGGCGTTCGTTTTTTTCTTTTTTTTGTTTAATCCCCTCTTTCTTTTCTTTTTGTTTAAATTTTATTTTTTTTTTTTTTGTTCGTTCTTTTCTTTCTTTTATAAATTTCTTTCTTTCTTTAAAAATATTTTTCAGAAGAGAATCTTTTTTCGTTTCTTTTCTTTCTTTCTTTTATTTTATTTCACTCTTTCTTTGATGTAAATTTTTCTTTCTTTTTCCAGCTTTCTTTCTTTCATTGGTTGTTTTTTCTTTCTTTATTTTTTTGAATCATTCGTTCTTTCTTTCTTTTATACATCGTTCATTTCTTTTTTTTTTTGAAGCGAAATTTTCTTTGTTTCGTTATTTCTTTCTTTCTTTGTTTTAATTCGTTCTTTCTTTTCGTTTACAAAGAAAATTCTTTCTTTTTTGGTTTTTTTTCTTTCTTTGTTTGATTTCCTTTTAGATATTTTCTTTTTCTTTCTTTCTTTCTTGTTTCAAACCTCTTCGTTCTGCTTTCTTTCTTTTCGTTTTTTTTTTCTTTTTTTTTAAATGTTTTTTTCTTTCTTTTTTTTTTTGTTTTCATTAAAAAAAACTTTCTTTCTTTTTTTTCGTTCATTCACCTCTTTCTTTTCTTTTTTCAGTTTTTTTCTTTTTTAAACTGTTTCTTCTTTGTTTTTGTTTCTTTCTTTCTTTGTTTCTTTGTTTTGTTTCTTTGTTTCTTTTCTTTCTTTGTTTCTTTGTTTAAGTTCATTCTTTCTTTCTTTCTTTGTTTTTCATTCTTTCTTTAATTTCGTTCATTCTTTCTTTGTTTTTCAACTTGCCCGTTCATTTTTCTTTGTTTGTTTGGCTTTTCTTTCTTTGTTTAATCTTTCTTTCTTTGTTTTAGTTTCTTTCTTTGTTCATTTTTCTTTCTTTGTTTGTTTCTTTCTTCTTTCTTTGTTTGTTTCTTTGTTTTTTGTTTGTTTGTTTCTTTGTTTTTTGTTTGTTTGTTTATTTTTTCTTTGTTAATGCTTCACTTATCTATTACATGTTAGTTTCCACACAAGTTATGTCAGAGCTTTCACTGGGTCATTATCATTCTTAATGAAATTATCAATATCATTTTTTCTTTTTTTTTCACCCTCAAGAAAGGCAATAATGCCACTAAGATACAAGAAGTTACTGGGAGTGAAATAAAATAAGACTTTAAATGAAGGAAGTGGAAACTCAATCCTAAACATGAATCAAGGGATAAACCTTGAATTCAAAGAGTTTGTTAATAAACTTTGTCTTGACTGAATCTTTCCAACAGTACCACCCCCTGCAAAGAGCCTCCTACCACTAGAACATCGTTCTGCTATCAATGTGCAGACTGGGACTCGTTCCTGGATTTCCTTCATGATGTAATCTGGGATGTTGTCTTCACGCTCCCCATTCAAGAATGTGCTTCCAAGGTCTCCTCCTGAATTAAAGCTGGAATTGAGGCTTTCATCCCCTTATGGAAATATAAGGTCAAATAGTGCTCATTGGTTCTCCGCTGCTTGCTCTGCTGACATTGCCCATAGGAATCACTTCTTCCACCTATATTGTAGCGACATGTCTGATCACAATAGACATCTCTTTATCTCTGCCTGTAACGAGTGTAAGCGTGTCCTCAATGAAGCATAGTCACTATTTGCTGCTCGAATGAAAGAACGTATTGTATCTCGCAAATTCAGCTCCAAGGATTATTGGGTCTCTGCAAGAGTGTACTTAACAATAGCAAACCCTTAATACCTCCTTTGATCAACCAGTTTGAGGTTCTGACCTCTTCTGCCAACAAAGCTGAATGCTTTGCTTGGAAATTCTCATTCAATTCAATTCTTGACTCTTCCAGTGTACCCACACCTGATTTCCCCCTTAGAACTGAGGCACAACTGAGCGAGTTGCACATAACCCCATCATCTGTATTGGGCATCATCTCTAAATTAGACCCCCACAAGGCTAGTAGTGGAGACAGGATACCAGCTATTGTACTGAAGAAATGTGCACTTGAACTGGCCCCCTCCCTCTCCAAATTATATAATGACTGCCTCAATGAATCTTGTTTTCCAGCCTGTTGGAAGTCCTCATCCATTGTTCCTGTCTAATTACTGTCCTATCAGTCTCCTATCACTCTTCGGCAAAGTCTTTGAAGCTTTAATCAATGCTGAAGTGGTTAGGCAACTTACATCTTATGATCTGCTCTCCAACAAGCAATATGGTTTCCACTTTGCCTGTTCTACAACTGATGTGCTTACGGCTATAACTGAAATTGTTTACCAATCACTTCATAATAATGGAGAAGCTCGTGACGTAGCTATAGATATCTCCAAAGTGTTTGATAGGGTTTGGCATGCCGGCCTTCTTCATAAGCTTCAGGGTTATGGAATTTCAGGTCGATTGTTCAACTTAATACAATTATTCCTGTCAAACTGTGCATTGAAGGCCGTTCTCAATGGATTTTCCTCCAGCTCCTATCTCACGAACACAAGTGTTCCCCAAGGCTCTATCCTAGGCCCTACTCTGTTCCTTATCTTCATCAATGATCATCCTGATGTCATAGGTTCCCAAGTAGGCATCTATGCAGACAACAATACTATTTACTCCTGCCTCAAAAACAAATCTAGTGTCACTGACAAAACTAACCTGGCTGTTTGTCTCAAAAAGGACCTCCAATCGTTTGTGGACTGGGGTAGGAATTGGCTGGTTAACTTTAATGCTTCAAAAACAAAATTGCTCTCTATTTCTCACCACAGAGAACCATCCCTGCCTCCCATTAGAATGCCTGATGCTCAACTCCACGAGAGCACCTCTTTGCAACTGCTCAGTCTCACATGGTCTGCTGACCTGAGGTGGAACAATTACATTGAGTCAATAGCTTCATCCACCACAAGAAAAGTTGGCTCCCTGTGCTGCACCAGGAAATTTTTCTTGCTGGAGTCAATCCTTCAAATCTACAAATCAATGATTTGCCTTTGCATGGAGCATGCTGCCATATATGGTCTGGAGCCCCTTCTGTTTGTCTCAAGGTCCTTGATAAAATCCAAAGACAGATATGCAATGTAATTGGCTCTGATCTGGCATCTCATCTGCAGTTACTCTCTCACAGATGTACCGTTGCGTCCCTCAGTCTTTTGTACAAATACTTTCATGGTAACTGCTCCGATGAGCTGTTTTTGCTGGTTCCCAGACTTCATGAATTTAAGTGTTCAACTAGGCTGGTATCTCGCTCTTACCCTTTCACTGTCGAAACTGTTAAATGTAGCTGCCTCTTTTACTCCAATAGCTTCATGTCTCGCACTTCTTACCTGTGGAACTATCTCCCCTTTGCGTGTTTCCCTGATAGCTATATTCTGCAACTCTTCAAATGTAATGTCAATGGACGTCTCCAGATGCCTTGATCTATCCCCTATTCTTCTCTTCATCCTTTCCTCTATCTCTCCTATTTGCTCTTGCTCCAACTCTCTGTAACCCCCTGCATGATAGTGGCTTCCTACCTTGCTTGAGGGGAAATGCTTAAAACAAGAAAAAGGATTATTTTTTTTATTACAGTTGGACTAATATACTTATCTTTTTTAACCTTCATGAAACAATAGTCTAGAAGACTAAAGCATAGGTAGTATAGTAATTGTGAGTTTAAACTCTGAGTCATGTAGAAACATGACTAGCTTAACTTTCTTTTTACAGTACTTAAGAAAAAAAGATGACAAGATGCAATATTCTAGGAATGCACAACAGAATGAGGACAATGTACCCCACCACCCATAGATTAAATAATTAAAATTAATAATCCAGGTTGGCTTCATTGAATTCTTTGAATGCTACTCACATTGACAGGCATCTGAAGAAGGCCTGAAAGTATAACTGCAAAACATGGTAGAGTAATAACAAAAAATTAGTATACAAGTCAAACTTTAAATAATGATGACTCTTCATTCTAAAAAACCAGTTGCTGTAAGCTGGGATGTGGGTAGTATAATGGATAATGGAATGAAATTGTTAATTGGAGAGTCAAGTTTCAGTTCCAGTTGGGTTTGTTATATTCACTCATATGCAGATACCCTTTTGGAAAGGTAGAATCCAATATTCTTCCCACCAGGTATAGGTTAATTAATAAGATTTGTATCTTCCAAATCATTATCTAAAAAAAAAAAAATTTTCTTACAATCTAAAAATATTTTTCTATCTTTAAATAACCTGCAAATTTTTCAAAATGAATCAATCATTTCAGAAATTTGGACAAAAGCATTTCTTTCCTTTGTTTTTTTTTTTATTTTATTATTTCGAAAAGGATATTTGGATCTTATTCTCTGTGATTCTTACAAAATCAATTACATGAACTGAATTCTATGTATCACATCTGAATTCCAAATCTCAAATGATTTTTAGCAAAAGGCTGATTTTGTGATAAGTTGGTTGAAATTCCACAAAGATTTTCATAAGGGTAGATAGTTGAGAAAAATTTTAAATTACATTTTTTTTTTAAATATCCAAATAAAGAAATGGGCCAAACAAAATATATAAATAAAAAGTTTTGTAATCCTCATTATTACAGCCATGGTATCAGCCTCCCATCTATCATACCACTGCATCTTGTTTATCAAAATTATCATCAGATTTACAAACATCAATGTTATTAGTTTGCTTCTATTTTGTTTGATCCAATCTATTCCAGGCACTGTTAAAAAAAAGATTTGTGTGTTTCTGTAATGGCTGACATCAGTGACGATGAAGGTAAGCCCTGTCCAATCAAAGTGCACACATGAAAGCACTGTCTCCATACACAAAATTTTATACATACTCACAAACTAATTTGTGTGCACACACAAATATACACACTCATATGCATAAAATGTACTTTTGAACTAATGTATAAGCTGTTGCACTTGTACACCCCTGAGTTCAGTCATTGATATTTATAAATAATATATACGTAGAAATAACCTTTTTTTTTTTTTGGATGTTTCAACCAAATTTGACTCAAGATCAAACTCATTGAGCTTCCAGTGAGACTCACTCCCTGGCAATGGCTTGCAAGATCTGCATGCTAACCCTGCTCTACAATGAATGCTCTTGGGTTTGCATAATATGCAAATATACCAATGCATGTATGGCCTTAGTTGTAAATATAGTAGAAACACAGATTTGGATGTAGTTTATCTGTTAGTTTTGGATCACTGATAACCCAAATCCTAGATGACTTTCTCTTGATCACCTCCAATCATTTCACTTAAGCCAGCATAAAAGAAGAAATTGCTTGGACCTTATTTTCACTAATTTATTGAAATTTAGTTTCCAATCTCCTAGCCACCCCTTGTCCACCATGGCTTTGGTTACTCACAGGTCAATGTCAGATATAATAATGACACACGAACTGCAACAGTAGTTGGCAAATTTGATATGGCAAAAGCTATAAAATGTTTCCTTTAAAGAAAAATGTGAAATTTCTCAATTAGATAAGGAAAGAAAAAGATAATATTGCTAATATCTAATGTGACTTTTATTACAATATATTGATGTAATTTTCCTATTTTATTGGACTTACTGGA